CGACCACATCTACGTCCTCATCCACGTGGACTATGGGAGAGCGGTAGCCGTACGTGGGGACCTGCCGCACGCCGGGCTTCCGGCCAAGCCAGCCGCCAATCATGCTACCCGTACCGCTCGCGGCTCTCTTCCTGCGCGGGGGAGAGGGCGTCGTCGGAGGTGAGAGGTCCTTGGAGTAAGGCGAGGCGGCACGTTGGTATGAAGGCGCCTCTTCGTGGTACGGGGAGGGTGGGAGGGATGAGAGGGGGGACGAGAGCTGGGTCGTCCCGCTGGTGGTCCGCGACAGCCTCGGGGGGGACGGTAAATGCGTGGATGAGGGAGGGGAAGAGAGCGGCGAGGAGATCTGCGATAGGGTACTACTCATACGAGACATGTCGTATGGAGATACCGGACGATCGGAGCGAGGTGGCGTCGACAAGGGTGACGACGTCTGGAAGGCGGCGTATACATTCGATGGTAGGGGCGGTGAGGGGTGCCCGATCGATATAGGCGAGGTAGATAGCGGGGAAGAGGGAGGCTCCGGTCTGGGGGGCGGGTTGTGATGTTTGCGCACGGGGGTCTCGATAACTACTCCCGCGAGGAACTGTGAACGTGGCGGAAGCTTGATAGTGAGCCGCTGTTGGTCGTCGCGGGAGACCGGGGGAGTGGGCAGGGTGTTATCGTCTCGTTTAGCCTTTGCCTTCGTCTTGCGCGCCTTCTTTGCAGGAGATACGGGTGATAGCGGTGGTGCACCCGTCTTCCGTTTCTTTGCAGGATGCGCAGGTCCATGATTCTCCGATCCTGGCTGCTCTTTCCGCTTCTTAGTCTTCTTCACCGCGGGCGGATCTTGACTGGAAGGAACGTCGCCCTCCTTCTCCCTCTCCTCGGCCGATTTCGCGTTCTCCGCCGCAGCCTCCTCCCGACGCCTTCTCCGCTCCTGTGCCGCTTCCTTCGCCTGCTCCTCTCTCTCCAGCTCGTCGTGCACCATCTGCGCGAAACTCTGCGCGTCGCCTCTTATCCACACATCGAACACACCTTCCCATTCTCTCGTCGGCACGGGGAAGTCTAAGTTAAGATAGACAGTGCGGACAGGCGGTTCTTCGTCTTCGGCAGGTGAGCGGCGCGGCGACGGCGTGGGAGTCGCAAGGCCGTGAGAGGACGTCGCGGCTTCCTCGGCGGGCGCATTCATCGCTGCGTAACGCGAGCGAACGGCCTTGGAGAACTCGCGCACGATGCGCTTCGTCCCTGGGACACGTAGACTTGTGCCTACGACGAGAAGGAGGTCTGCGCCGGCGCGGCCCTTCCCCTTGGAGCTGCCGATGAGGTCCTTCCGCACGACGTTCCCGACCTCTTCGCCGTCCTTGTGATCCTCGTTGTAGAGCACCACACTCGGCCGTAGTCGGCCAACCCCGCGGGACCTCTTACCCACGAGTTGCCGTGTTTCCTCCAGGGCCGTGCACTGCGGACAGGGAGGAGGGGTACCAGACGTTAGAGCATCGACATAATCGCGAAGAGGGTACGAGTGCCTGCAAGTCTGGCAATGCATCGACTGCAGAGTGCCGTGTAGGGGGATACAGCGGGGCGTTTCCGCTGGCGGTGAAGGCAAACGATTGGCTGGCAGTTCTTCAGGAGCATCGGCCAAGGCGGGGGTTGGCTTTCCTTTGGATGCGCGGGACTTGTACCGCCGGCCGTCGAGTTCCGGGACGCCAAACGAAAGGCCGGACTTCTCCTCCAGAGCGTCGATGTTCTGGGTATAGACCCGAAGTAGACGCCGCCGTTCATCGAGTACACGCAGGAAACGGTGAAACGGTGTAGGCTCAGCAGCGTCAGATAGCTGCGACAGCTGGGCAATCATTTGGCAAAACAGCGAAGTGGTCTCTTCGGACTGCAACAATGGAGCGTGTGTGAGCAAGCCTTCATGGTCAACGTGGAAAGCGAGAGCCGCGAGCCTTTTGATAAGTATCAAGCTCGAAAGACAGAGCGTTGAAGTGCATCCGCAACAGAAACGATGCGTGCCCGTATGGACGTCGCCTTACAGGCGGAGGAGCCACAATATGGGCATATGTGGGCGAAATTCTTCTTGGTATGACCCAGTAGACGAGACGAGCACCCACGGGTAACACAAGAGCCTGAGCTGGCAACATGTTCCGTCGCTTCCATGTCGACGATGCCCGCCGCAGCATCGGTTTGAGAGGCTTACGCTTTCTAGTGGATTACGCCGATGTAACGGATGTCTCGCAGTCGCGCGAGCAACCGTTCGCCACAGAGAGGCTAAATACTAAGCCGTGGCATGAAAGAGAGGAGTCGCGACGCATATATGCACGCCGTCGTCGTTAAGAAGCACCGCCTGAATATCATTACGTCCCCAACGCCCAGACCAGCGATAGAGTGAACCGAGCTGGCAACTCACGTTGAAGACCGATGCGTCGAACAAGTCCTTGCCCGAGCTCAGTGTGGGGTGGTCTTTCTTCAACGACTGGAAAAGCCCCTCCGAGGACCGAAAATCTGGTATGCCGGCCTGGACAGAGATCCCCGCACCTGCCCCGCGCACGTCTTATCAGCGTCGCACTACTTCATGGGAGGCATGAGGTACGCACCGCATACAACCGCAATGCGGCGCGCCTTGAGGATGGTCTTGATAACCCGCTTGACATGGCTGGCGGGCTCGGGCGAGCGTACGAGGAAGGATGGCGACGGTGGGAAAGGGGCGGCCGCGTCCAGCGGGAGGAACGCCGTCATCGCGGGACGGCGGCGGGACGACGAGCGAGGTGGGCGCGGGGGCGAGCGGGGCTGCGGGTGCACAGGAGATGGTGGAGGGAGAGAGAGGCGTTGAGTGCGCCCGTTCGCATTCCTCGCACAACTTGACGCGGTGGCGCGCCGTGCGGGTCGGGGCGCCTGGCGCTAAGATCGGCGGTTATCACCGTTACACAGGGTCCTTGTCGGAGTTTACAATCCTTCAGTCGTACCTACACCGCTCCTTACTACCACCGTTCATCTAGCTCAGTGTCGAATAACATCCACTGCCCCCTGGGCACGCAGACACTCACACAGACTTCTGACACGACGCTAGCATGCGCCATCCACATTGCTCTACTTCGCTTCGATGACCGCATTTCGTCCGCTCAATTCAGGGCATCTCCTCATAAGGCATCATTGCAGTTCTCATCATTAGCACCGTCGGCACGCGCAGCGCAAAGAGGGGCGAGGACCACGTTGTTCCGCTTACACCAGACCTCGAGGGCTACCAATTGCTTATACTGCACAGAAAGATCTTCCACAGTGGCCCTGGTATGTATCGATACAGATTCCGGTGAACGAAGGAGTAGGGCTGTCGTAGCTCATCGTTCTGCGAGACGACATTGCAGTAGATATTTTCTCAAGGATGAATTCGAAGGCGCGATGAGAAGATACAATTACAAGATGATACACATCAACGTCCAGACTATTCCTGCTCGGTCCTCAGCGTTTGCTCTACCGGCCCACAGCCCGACCAATCTCGACGTCCTGTTCGGCAGTGCTAATGCCAGTCTCGTCAAGGAAACGATCCATATCGCGCTCCTGCTTGTAAGCGTCGACCTTGACACCGCGAGTGCGCCCGGAGACGTTCTGCTCGTCCTCGGTGGTGCTGGAGAGCAAGTCCTCTACTTCGCCTAGAGCCGGCAACATCAGCATCCGTAGGTGTTCGTTGAATTAGTTGTACTCACCCCTCGGGATCTGTCCCGTCTGCTCGGACTTCTCGGCCTCTTTGTCCTCCTTCTTATAGTCACGGTACGTGGGCTGGTTGTCCGCGCCGCGGGCGCCAACCGGGTGCATGCCGGGGTCGGTGTTGTCGTCGAAGGCGGCGTTATCGGGGCGAGCGTCTGCCTGAGGGTTGTACGTCAAGTTGTCGACGTCCCGGTTGGCAGGAGGCATGTTGTATGGTCCGCGCGACTGGTTGACCATGGTGGCGACTGGCAGTATGGGTAAGGCGGCGGTTGTGGTGGGTTGCAAGAAGAGGTTGCAGATGTGAAGGAATCTCTCCGCCCGCCTCCACATATATACGACTCGGTGTCTCCGCACCCGGCTGGTTGTTCACTGACCTCAGCTCAACGTCACTACGGGTGAGATCAGCGGGTACACAACTACACTTACCCTTTTGGGTAAGTGACATACCATTCCGGGATAACGCCGCCTCCACCTTGAACGGTGACGAGTCGGCAGAGGAAGTGATCAGAGAATGACGTTGAACTCGACCAATAGCTCGAGGGGCTTCAGCCTGAACTGGGACAATGCAAGCGACCTTGGCTCCTCAATACGCCACGAATGCCGTACTCGCGTGTCAACGTCTGTACCCCGCCGCGGATCCTGTAGGATATCGACGATGCATACGCAATATTGACTCCGCCAGTCGATAGCCTTGGTGTTGTTTGTGTCTACTAAAGTGGAACCAATGCCAGTGCTTCTCACACAGTAAGCTCGTCTTTCTGCCTTCTTCCTGACTATAACTGTCCGCTGAAAGCTGTTTTCCGGTGTCATTCATGCAGCCCTATCCTACCGTTTGAAGATCACCCTAGTCGGCCCCGGGCTCCAACATATCAGTCCCAACGCTCCCGACGCCCCGTGTCCCGTATACCCCCAATAGATTGGGCACCACTGGTATTCAATGTCGTCTAAGCCTCGCCTCATTGCTCTCTCCAGTTACCATATGTGGATGCCGCCGCTGTGTGCTGAAGCTTACCTGCTGACTTAAGCCAAAATGCCCAACGCCTCTCAATCCACATCGAAGTATATACCCACAACACCCTGGACATCGTGAGTCCAAAGCAAACGCCGATGTCCTCAAGACGCTGTTGACATGTTTTCACAAGGATCGGTAGAGAAGATTCAGGTCATCGAACATCTCGTCTTCTCATCCCGATGGGCCTTAACATTGCCAACGACGACGCACGCGGGGAACTACTAGAGTCTGCTATCTATTCCTCCGAGAATTGCGACTACCCCTTTAATCTTGATATATATGCTTACGTTTACTCTCTTTCAACGGCCGGCTGGCCTAATGGTTAAGGCGTCAGTTTCCGGTTGTCGGAATCAGCTGAAGATTCTGGGTTCGACTCCCAGGTTGGTCGCTTTTTGCCATGTCCAACAACCCCCTAACATTTCGGTGCTTTCCAGGTTGCAGGAAGACACTTACATCCGGCATAGCGAAAGTCAAGAGTCTGATAACGAGAGTCTGCATTGAGCGCCTATTCCGGGGCGGCTTAGCCGTGCCTACTTGAACACGTTCAGCTGATCAGACGCCCTTGAACCTGACCCACAACGCGCCGTGCTTCTCCGATATCATACTGGGCCGGGTCACCCCAAGACCATGCCGAACTCAGTAGAAAGTGAAGGCTTGAGTGGCCCTTGTGGGCTGTGGACGAGGAACCGGCACTATATCGACTACCGTTACTAACGGGTGCCATGGATCCGATTCTTCTCGTACATCTACCCATGTCACCGCCAGCACTTGTTCCACATCCCATTCTCCTGCAAGCAGGAGGTCTCAGGTCGGGCCTTGGCTGATGGCACGGGGCAGCGGGTACCGTATCTCATGAGAGGGTATCGGTCCCCTGTGGCGTGTCTATCGCACAGTACGTTCACTTTCCTAAGCTTATCTCCCCGGTCGAAGCCCACGCTTACCCGGGCTCGAGTCAAGAGACGAGCAGATAAATAGCAGCGCCTGTGCATTTGGAACCAGCACTACGTATCGCCATGACCGCTGCCGCGCCCGCCAAAGACTGGAAAGCCCTCTGCGCCGAGCGCAAGCAGAAGCAGCTCGCCCAGATTCCGAAAGAGTGGACTATCACCCCGCCGCCGGAGGACCAGCGCAACGTGATAGATGTGCCCCGCACCTGCGGCCTCCTCACCCCTCGCGAGCTCGAGATCACCGAGACCGTCAATGTCGCGATCCTCCTCGACAAACTCCGCACGGCGGAGTGGTCCTCGGTCGAGGTCACCACTGCGTTCTACAAGCGCGCCATCATCGCACAGCAGCTGGTACGTCGTCTTTAGGCGGATTCGTATGCATCCGTACTGACGGGTGCTCGTGTAGACCAACTGCCTGACGGAGATCTTCATCGAACGCGCCCTCGCGCGTGCTAAAGAGGTGGACGATTACTTGAAGACGCGCGGCAAGCCAATCGGTCCCCTCCATGGCCTCCCGATCTCTCTCAAGGACCAATTCTGTATGAAGGGTCTCGAGACCATCATGGGTATGCTTGACATGTCCGGTTCTGTACACACCTATAAGGCTCAAACCGCTTCCGTAGGCTACGTAGGGTGGATCAATCGCGTTGCCGACCGCGACAGCGTTCTCGTCGAGATTCTCTACGAGTGCGGCGCCGTCCCATTCGTGCGCACGAACGTTCCGCAGACTCTGATGGTGAGTTCGAGCGTTTCTGCTATGCGTACATCTTCATGCGCGGCTGTTTCCTATGTCTATGAACTGGGAGCGTAATCACTCCTGTCCCAGAGGAGCACTCCGCGTGCCAGCTCTTCGCCGCCCCTTCGCCTCTGGAGTTCATCTCCAACTTGTGCGTGTTGAGAAACAACGAACTGACACTCGATCGTGCATACAGTGGGGCGAGACGTACAACCACGTCTTTGGTCGGACGATGAACCCTTACAACCGGTACATGACCTCTGGCGGGTCCTCTGGTGGCGAGGGTGCTCTGGTTGCTCTCCGCGGCAGTCCCCTCGGCGTGGGCACCGACATCGGCGGGTGCGTCTATCTCACATCCCTGAACCCGACATCCCAGTACTTACACTTGCGACGCTATTAGGTCTATCCGGATCCCGAGCGCGTTCTGCGGTTTGTACGGCCTCCGCCCGTCGTATGAACGCCTGCCATACTGCAACGCGGTAAACTCAGCGGTGGGCCAGGAGAGCATCCTTTCAGTTCTTGGCCCGATGACGAACTCCATCGAGGGCGTCAAGCTCTTCACCAAGGCTGTCATCGACTCCCGGCCCTGGCGCAAGGATCCGCTGTCGGTGCGCAAGGAGTGGAGCGTGCGCGAGTACGCCCTGTCGGAGCACGGCGATGGGGGCCACATGTGCTTCGCGATCATGTGGGACAACGGGGTCATCAAACCTCACCCGCCGCTCATCAGAGCGATGAAGATCGTCAAGGAGGCATTGGAAGCCGCAGGTCATACCGGTATGCCGTATTTCGCACACACCAGGAATGTGGTCAAGTATCATAGGGGCTGACCTGCCGCGTGTTCCCTTTCGCAGTTATTGACTGGGAGAACCACCGAGTCCTAGAGATCTGGGAAACTGGGGTCAGTGCTTTGCAATTGCCTCGCCTTCTATGCTCGGGAACAAACGCTGACACGTATCTCCCACCAACGCTCCGCCATGCGCGATGTGTATTCGATATTATAGCGACGCATCTTTGCCGCGGACGACGGGCAGGACTTCATCAACGATTGCGCGTTGTCAGGGGAGCCCCTTCTCCAGACCATGAAGCCGGAAACGGGCGCGCACGAGTACGCACTGGATGAGCCCCTGACACGTACCATTGTGGGCGAGCGCAAGCACCTCTCCGCATACGAGGTGCGTATATGTTCTCCATCACTTCTTCGTCCTGCGTTGGTCATGTTCTGACTTCGTTCTCCTCTCTCTGGTGCGATTGCCACTCCGCCATCGTTGATGCGTATGCAGTTGTGGCAGCTGCACAAGAAGAAACGCGTACTACGCAAGTCCCACCTCGATCACTGGGAGGCGACCGCATCGCGGACTGGAACAGGGCGTCCGGTCGATGCGATTATCAGTCCCGCCGTTGCCTATGCTTCATGCCCCCATGGGTGCAACACGTAAGCCAGCCACAATCGCTATGGTTGTCTGCCATTCGGTCTCAAACACGACTATCTCTTTGCCCACAGCAACTGCGTCTACACGGAGTTCTGCAACTTCTTGGACTACACCGCAGCCGTGTTCCCCGTCACGTTCGTCGACAAGGAACTCGACGCACGCGTACCTCCGCATGCGTTCTACAACCACGAGGACGAGGCGTTGTACAAGCTATGTGCGTGCTAGTATTTATCTTGCGTTCATCTCTTCCTCTGATGTATCATCGCGGTTGCACTGCACAGACGACCCGGAGCTCTGGCATGGCATGCCTGTCAACCTGCAGCTCATCGGACGGACGCAGGAGGAAGAGGGTGTGATCGGCATGACCGAAGTCGTTGATCAAGCACTGAAAGTATACAAGCACGCAAAGCAATGGAGCCTACATATGTACTAGGCGCCTTCTACGCTTCGCCGGTGGCATGCAGTGGTACTCGAGGTCGACGAGAACTACCTGTCGCAAATTGTATCGAGGTCATATGGCGTTGAATCATTATATTCAACTCATCGCGACTCTATAGTATACGGCGGGATATAGCCGGAAGTGTACGCTAAATACCGATCTCCACCGAACATGGTGGATGAGCTTTGGCCGTAGACGACCCTACTGTGACGACACGTCGCGCCAAAAGGGGACGAGTGTCACGCGTTGTGGCTGCGTCAACGGCGCCGCATGTGCACTTGGGCGCCTCGTCCACTGCGTTCTCCGTTCGACTCCTGCTCTTGTTCTCTACCGCAGCCCCCTCTCCTCTCCTCCTGGTCTGTGTCTCTGTGGTGCGCGCGCATACCTGACCTGTATCTGGCGCCATGTCCTTCTTTGGCAGCACGTCGTCGAGCACGCTCGTGAGCAACGCGGCTGCGGACAAAGATATCGAAGTCCCGGAGCCTCCGAGCGACTCTATCTCTTCGCTCTCGTTCTGTCCTACGGCAGACTATCTCGCTGTTGGCTCCTGGGACAACAATGTGTGTGCTATGTGCCCTTGTACGCGCGCTGTCTATGACAAGAGAGCTGATCTTCCGCATGTCCGGAACTAGGTTCGCATCTATGAGGTGGGAGCGAACGGGCAGACCCAGGGCAAGGCAATGTACCCTCACCAGGGGCCCGTACTGAGCGTATGCTGGTCGAAGGTGCGTGGCACGAGCGACCTCCACCGTCGTGCATGCAATTGAATAACAATGCTGTGATTTTGTCGCGCTCGTGCCACAGGACGGCAACAAGATTCTCTCTGGTGGCGCAGATAATGCAGGGCGCATGTTCGACGTCACGACCGGCCAATCCTCCCAAGTCGCACAACACGACGCGCCGATCCGTGTCGTTCGGTGGATCGAGTCGCCACAGGGCGGCGTGCTTGCCACAGGAAGTTGGGACAAAACGATCAAGGTCAGTCACAAGTCCGTGGGCGGGTGTGGCTCTGCTGACGCGTCAGATCGTGTCAGTATTGGGATCTCCGCACGCCAAACCCCGTGTCGACAGTGCAGCTCCCGGACCGCTGTTACACCATGGACGTCGTATACCCCCTAATGGTCGTCGGCACTGCTGAGCGACACATCCAAGTCTTCAACCTTGCCAACCCCACCACGCCATTCAAGGTATATTTCTCCCGTGGGCCTAGTGCGTTCGCCCTGTTGACCTTGGCCCCATGCGCGTAGACGCTTGTCTCGCCATTGAAGTGGCAAACGCGCGTTGTTTCTTGCTTCCCCACCGCGAACGGCTTTGCTGTAGGGAGTATCGAAGGGCGTGTGGCCATCCAGTGCGTATTGACTATCATGCGTCTTCGCGCGTCTCTCACCCGGATTGCCTGTACCAGATATGTGGAAGAGAAGGACGCCTCGTACGTGCTCTCCGAGGCGATATTGTATGGTAATACTCACGCCATACCTCCAACTAGCAACAACTTCTCCTTCAAATGCCATCGTCGTGACCAGTCACCGCAATCAAAGGATCAGTCGTTGGTTTACGCCGTGAACGACATCTCCTTCCACCCCGTACACGGCACATTCTCCACGTGCGGTACGTCCCCCCTTCACCTCTCGGGCTTGGATCCGTTGCTCAGCTCGCCCCCGTAGGCTCTGACGGTACCATCAACTTCTGGGACAAGGACGCCCGCACGCGCCTCAAGTGTACGTTGTTCCCCCGTACCCGCTCTCATGTTCGGGCTGACGTGCGCCCATCCGCTTTTCTAGCCTTCGAGCCCGCGCCCGGCCCGGTGCCCTGTACGGCGTTCAACCGCTCCGGCAC